TGACAGGTCTGTAGTTCCCCGGGTCTTCTTTAACAGCATCTTTTTTTCTGCCATATTTGGCAGAAAACTCTGCTTTAGTTCCTCCAAGCAAATGGAAAGCTCACTGAGCCCACACTTGGTCGCTGTGTCTGTAAGAGAAGACAAATCAAATATGGCTTGGAGTCTGTAAGGCTTTTCTGCCAAAGGGTCAGGGGACCTCCTGACTGGTACTTGCAGAATTTTCACTTCTTCTGTAATTTGCCAACAATGGAATATTCCTTCTTTACCCACCATGATCTAGCTGTGGAACTATGAGATTCCCCCTCCTGATAGTCACACGGATACGAGGACCATGAGCATATTAACTTGGCTTCTCTGGCAGATGTGCCCATTGCATGTTACTTCGATGTATCTGATACCTTTTGCGTGGTGCTGCGCATTACAGTGGAAGAAACAAAATGTTCATAGAACAGTATCTGCTTTATCTGGGAGAATAAATTGCAGAAGCCAGATGTCCTCTTACACATGAAACTCTATCCATCTCTTGTATGGTTTCTTTAATATGGCAGAAAATCCATGAGCTGAGGCTGAAGTTGCAGAGCTGGCATTTCCTCTTCCTGTTCCTGGCTGAATTTACTGCCTCTCTTCCTCTCCCCTCAGAGAAGCAGGCAGGAGCTTTGGCCCTCTTGGACAACTACTTCGTTGCTTCTCTCTTGGATTTCCATCCTCTCAGAAGAGGTCTTTGACCATTTCTGAAGTCCTAGAGTTTTATGTTCTATGCAGGAAAGTAATTTCTCCCATATTCTGCCTCTGCTTTCCAGCTGCAAACTGGAGATAGTGAAACTAACCTGTAGCAACTGCTTTGAGATTGTTGCTGATGTGCTATATGTGAGCTAGCCATTATAATTTTGATTTTTGATGTTGTATATGACTTATCTGCAGAAGAAATAACATTACTTATTTACTGAAATAGAATATGATCATACTTCAGTAAAATAATGGGCTTTTTTAAGAACAGAACTATCTCAATGTGTTTTATTAGTTATTGAAAATTATCCCAACTCAGTGATCTTTATTAATTATTTCTTCTCCTACAAATCTTTCCTTAGCAATTGGAACTGTGTCAGAGATTATATAAACTGCATTTTCAGCTGCTGTTGCTTTTTCAGTCCTACTGTAAACTTATTGGACAAGTGCATGAAGTCAGTTCCATGCCAGAGGTATGTAACGAACTATGAATTCTTACACTGAAAATACCACTTTACCCTCATGTTCTTTTCTTTCTTTCTATGGAGTTACACCAAAGATTACACTATTTCACCCTGAATATTAAGTCTCCAAACAAAACCCTACAATACACCAGCATCCATGTTAAATTATAGTCAAGATGCTGTATTTTTTGTAATTGACTGTACTTTCAGAGACTGGGATCTTTTATGCATTCAGTCTTCAAAAGTCATTTACTGAGTGGTTGCAAACTAGAAAACACTTCACAAGAACATTAGTGTTAGTGTAGTTTCAGCAATTGCATAAAATATGTAATACTTGGAAGTACCTTTGAGGTGATCACTTTAAGTTGAATGATCATCATTTAAGGAATGATAGTAAAATAACTTGCCATTCCATATATATTTTTCTCCTGGTGAGGGGGGTGTGTGTGTATATATATATATATATATATATATATAAAAAACTATTGAGAGGTAGAAGTGGGGTTTTTGCTTGTAACTGTAAAACAAAATGTCAAGCTATAAAATGGATTTTATGACAGACTCTGGTAGTTTACAGAATGTCTATAAATGGAACTGGTTTGTTTTATCAGATGATGCTGTAGCAGTACAGAGAGTTTGAATACTTACTGTATCTTAAGAAACTGTTCTGAAGGCTGGCTCCTAATGTGACAGCTTTTTAAGAGAAAACAGGACAGTAGGCATCCAGTCTTGGAGTAGTCCAAGTTTTAGAAGTATTTTGTGTTCCTTATAAGACGATTGATTTCTGTAACTGTATTTTACAGTTATGATTTTGTTAGATTGTTATAAATCATGCAACTGGGGAACAACAATATGAGAAATAGCTGTTTCACCATGATACTCACATTTTGCTGGAACCATAAGCTACGATTTAAAGGAAGCTGCATTGTTAGTTCATGTGACAGTGGTTATTGTTAGTGTGTATGAGCATGCAAAGGCAGATCTTTAGAAATGAACTGTTCACTTATGAATTAGTGAGTCTTGTGCCATATTAACTTCTCAGCCTGACAGAGGGTTATACAATTCCTGTCCCTCTGTTAATCATACCAGATCCTGCATGTGTTTTGTAAATAGATAACATCATTGCTAGAAGTATGTGTTTTCTTAAACTTTTTCACTATGATATGAAAAAAGTAGCAGGGGTGAAAAATAAGATTGTTTAGATGTGCTCTTGCATTTTAGCAAGCCAGAAATACAGCACAGAGTTAAAGGAAGCACAAAGCTTAAGCATCTGCAGTTTGTGTTTTCCCTATGTTGTACAGAGCATGGAGATCAAGAAATGTCCCTGTGTTAAAATGGGGGCTTTTCCGTAATGTGTACATCCACTGTAGTAGAACAGACTTGAAATCCCTGCTCCCTTCAGTGCTTATGGAGAATGAAAATGCCCATCTCTCATCTTCTCTTGGAACAGCTGTTAAATATGTCAAGAGAACTGAGTGAGTTGAAGAAAAATCTTAAGGATGCTACTGCTGCAATCGCAGCTGAGCCTCTGACAACAGAATCGGAGCCCACATTCAATTCTACGGAAGCAGCTATTCAGTCCATGCTGGAGTGTTTGAAAAACAACGAACTTGTTAAAGCTGTCCGACAAATAAGAGAATGCAGGCAAGTTTTGCTACATGGCTCATATTTTAATAGAATAGCAAGCATTTATTATCTTCTTAACTTTATACTAAAGTAAGTGTGCTGGGTCAGCATAATTAATTTAATATGTTTCAAGAAGATACATGGGGGCACTGATAGTAACTTTTGCAGGGTTGTGCCACAAGTAACAATATCAAATCAGTAATACAAACACATATGCTTGCAACAATGAAGATGTTTAATTAATTGCTTTTGGCTTATAAGCGTGTGTGAGTCAGTTCTCCTTTTAGAGACCTCTATCCCTTCATTTCCATATGAGCTAATAAACCCATAGTGATACACACATTCTTTCCCTGTTTGATTGCAGGATTTTGTGGCCCAATGATATCTTTGGAAGTAGCTCTGACGATGAAGTCCAGACACTACTGAACATCTACTTCCGGCACCAAACCTTGGGTCAGACGGGCACCTATGCACTGGTGGGCTCCAACCAGAGCCTGACTGAAATCTGTACCAAATTAATGGAACTGAATATAGAGATCCGTGACATGATTCGCAGAGCTCAGAGTTACCGGGTCATCAATACTTTTCTTCCAGACTCCAGCGTTTCCGGCACAAGTCTCTGACAGGACTTTTGTGTCCTCTTTCAAGCTGGGAGTGCTGCCCTGTTGGAGTGAGGTGGCTCAATGTCTTCTCAGCCTTACAAAGGTTTGGTCAAACTGTACTCACTCTTGTTACATTTAGGATTTCTTCTAAAAAGAGATGGGCTGAACTTCAAATGTGTAGCAATACTGTAAGGACAAAGGTAGCATAGAGCATCTGGGACAACATCCTTTGTTCTCTGTTGAACAAAAATCAGTTAGCATTTCACTGAGCAACTGCAACTCACTACTGAAGAAGTGACTTCCATTGCATACCAAAGCCTACTACACTGAACAATACTTCCTTTATAGCAAATTAATTTTAGGTTGGCAAAAGTGCAATGTTTCCTTCACAAAATAATATTTTTTGTTAAGAAAAAAAAAACTTGTACATTTTTCCTTTTTTTTTTTCTCTTATTTGGTTGAGTGAAAGATGGGCAGAATGAAGCTGGCCACAGAATCTCGCAAACTTGTTGGTCAAAAGCTGAGAGCCTGTGTTTATGAAACAAATTGTAAATGGACTACAGTTTAATGTACACTGTAATTTGAATATGATTACTGTATCTTAAAACAACGAGCTGCTATGAAGTACATTTCCTAATGTTACTAGGCTACTGTCTCTGAAGGTACTGGATCATATTGCAGAGGTCTGTTCTTAGGCCACCCAAGCCTCATGAATGGTCTTGGTAGGTTTTCTTTTTTTTCTTTTTTTTTAAAGGACCTTGGCTGCTTTTTACTAGAGGGTTGCTTTTATGAATATATTTATACTATTAAAGGATGGTTGATCTAATTTAACTTGCCGTTTTGTAGGAGAAAGTCCCATCACAGAGTCAAAGCCTTTGACCTGTTATGCATGCATATTTTTATTTAATATAAATTTTGAGTATAAAAAGTAAAAATATTAACGTGAAATGCAAGTTCTCATGTTAAGTTTCTTTAAATAGATGTCTTATTTTATTTGTAATGTCTATATAAAATCATACCTGTATGGTTTTTTCTTACATTTAACTGCTGTCCAGTGTTAAATGTATGCATGTAAATCTGTTGCACATCCAAGACACTTTTATTCTGACAACTATGTAACTTATTCACTCTGTAAATACACTTACCATTTTTGTGAAGTAACTTTGGTTAATATTTGGATCAGTACATCCATTTAACTAAAATATAAAAGTCATATATAATCACAACAGAGTATGTGCTTGTTGTGAAGATTGTGTTCTTGTCAGGATCTATACTGCTGTGGATGGTATCAATGATCAGCAGCCTCCAAAGGGCACCTTTGTCATTGTTTATGGTGTTCATTACACTGAAAGAAACCAGTGAGAAATGTAAGATTTTTTTGTCAGTCTTTAATTACAACTCAAGCAAGAAGAGTACAGTTTCGTAATTGAAAAAAAATCCAAAATTGAGCTGAAGGTTTGTTTCTGTTAAAAACATTAGTAATGGTCCTATTTGGTCCAGCACTGGGTTTTGGTGAGGTTCTACTTGACTGTTCTCATGGTGGAAAAGCTTTTCCTTTATCCATTCTGAACCTATCTTGTTTTGTCCAATACACGCTGTCTCTCATCTCCCTACCACAAGCCACACTGAAGGGCCTGGCTCCATCTTCCCTCAGTAACCATTACCTGGCAGGGGGCTGTTGGGTACCCCCGAAGTCTTTGCTTCTTCAGGCTGGATAAGCCCTGTTCTTTCAACATCTCCTCACAAAACAAGTGCTCCAGCTGTGCGACTAGCTTAGTGGCATCCACTCTACTCCTCACAGCTGATCAACAGCTTTCTCATATAGAGAGCCCAAAACCGGATACAGTAACCTAGATGTGGACTCATGAGTGCTGAGTAGAGCGACACAATCACTTCCCCTGCTCCACTGGTTTAACTTCTGTTTGTACAGCCCAGAATGTTGGCTCCCTTTGCTGCCAGGGCCCACTGCTGGCTCACACCCAGCTCAGTGCCCACCAAACCCCAAGGGCACTTTCCAATGAGCTGCCCCCAGCCCAGCAGTCCCTTGTCTGTATCACTACAAAGGGATCTCCCCATCCAGGGGTAGGAACATCCTCTTGGCCCTACTGAGTATCACAAGGATCCTGTTGTCCCATCCCTCCAATCAGCTGAGATCTCTCCAAATGGCAGCAGTGCTCTCAGCTGTATCAGCTGGTCCTTCCAATTTGGTGCCACCTGCAAACTTTACAAGTACACTCTGTTACCTCTTCTAGGTCACTGGTAATGATGAACAGGACAGGTCCCAGGACAGGCTACTGCTGTACACCATTTGTTACTGTCCTGCAGGTATAGTACAATTGGTCCTCCACTGGGTGTGAAGACTTCCATGAGTTCCTTCCAACCTGAAGTATTATATGATTCTTCACAGATACAACAGAACTCATGATGTAACAATCTAGCTGGCTTGGCATGATTTCTAGACTTTGAGTAGAAATCAGTGCATGCCAAAGCAAGCTTCACTGAAGTCCTAGAACATGACCTACAGTAATGCCCCACTGTGCTTCTATGAAATACAGTTAGAATTGACTGCATTTTGTCTCCATGACTGTACATTCAGTTACTCCTTTAAGTTACATTTAAGCCACATACCCTGGAAATACCTTATATGACTAGAAATCTTCTGAGGCAGAAGCCCCTATTTGAACTGGGGGCACAGGGGCTTAACGTCTCCAAAAAGCAGCAGAACAAGTCCCAGCTCAAAAGGTTTTCCCTCCTCACTTGGGAAAACACGTGAAACGTCTACTTCTCGTATCTTACAGACAGTCTTTCATTATCAAGCTGCTGTGATTTTATTTTTTTCCCCCCTTATTTTTTACAGAAGCCTTTACTCCTAACTTTATGGTCCAGAACATTTATTTGCATCTTCCACACAAGTTCAGTTTGAGGGACCGAAGGAAAAACTTGCTACTGCAGTTTTAATCTCAGCAATCCTTAATGGCAGACTAAAGAAACAAAACGCATTTTCTTTAGAGCGTCAAATAGGTTCTGTTTCCTTCCAGATACGCTTTCCTCTTTCATCACAGCAAGATGAAACTAAGGGGTAACAAACTAGTGCAAACTTTTATTGAACTTTATTAACAGCATATACTCAATGAAGTTAAATACTTTATAAATACTACAAAAGTCTTTATCCATTATCCAATGCCAAGTCAAAAGCCTAAAGTCAAAACACTGCCAGAGACTGACAAAGTGCAAAACAAAAGAGAGCACACAGATCAGACAATGTATTTGAAGCTGTAAGTGTTATCACAGGACAGCCTCTTGCCTTTGCAGCGCCCACAAAGTTCTTGGCGATGAGGTCTCTTCAGATCAATGTGTCTTTTCTTCTGAGGGCAGGTACAACGAGTCTTGAAACAGGTCTTAAGAAACAAGACATTTTATTAGTAGTAGATCAAAGGTGCTCACTTCACATTAGAATGACATTTAGTTTTCCTTAATCACAGCAACACATTTGGTCCAATACACTTAAAAGAGCTTTTATGGTAAAAACTCTGTAGAGTTAAGCTGCAAGAGCCTTCTTCTCTAGAAACACAAAGGCCTACCCTACACATAGCTTGGCATAACACTGGATTAACAGAAAACCATTCTTGTAAGCCACCTGCACAAGGAGGAAGTCGTATCCCACTGCACCTTTCCCAAATAATATTTCCTAGTGCTGTGATGAAAGCAAGTTCTCTTCCAGATAAAGTCAGTATCTAATTCAGCAACTGAAAACTATTAAGAGTATATGACAAATTCTGGCAGTCTTACCAGGATCTGTAACTCACCTGGCACTGGATAGGTTCCACTCGATAGGGATTGAAGCCTTTTTGGCATTTGCGACAGAGTTGCTTGAAGTACACCTCAAAAAAAGCAAGTTCTTATTTACTATAGAGACTTAGAGTGTTCAGTACAGACACATAAATTTATGCCAAATCATCTGATATTTGGTGCCATTCTTACAAGTCTCAGGAGCAAGAAATGACTTGTTAACTACCTTGTTGCTTCCGGAAATGCACCACACATAAGCACTCTCCCATCTGGTCTTGCAAACTTTACAGTGGAAATAGCCATACTTCTGCTCCAAAAACTGCAGAGAGAAAGCTCACTGAGCGGCCTCCAATACCACCAGCACACCCCGTTTCCACAGGCAGGAGGCTCTGTACCGGGGGTGTGCAGCCCGGTGCAGGGAGCCTGGGTGGGGACCACTATGCCTTTTGCTGCTCAAGAGCAGATTTCTCTCCCACCTGTTTAATCATTCACCCCCCAGCCCCTTGCCCAGAGCGGGCTGCAGCAGGTCCCAGCCTCTCCTCAGCCCCTGGTGTCCTAGTGCCGCGCACCTGGAAGGCAGCCCGCCGTCTGGGGACTGCGGCATTCTCCCGTGGGGTCTCTGCCGTCTGCTCCCTCGGCGGAGCGGCCTCTGCCTGGTCCGGCTGCTGCTGCTCTCTGCAACCATCCTCTGCCTTCTGCTCCTCGGGGGTCGCTTCGGACGCCTCTTCATTCTCCCGGGGTCCAGCGGCCTCGGGCAGCGTGAAAAGACGGCGGTCGGGCACGGGTGAGTAGAGGGCGAGGTGCCCTTGGGTGCGGAAGACGGTGGGGCTCAGGGGGCGGCCGACGGGCAGCGTGCGCGGCCCCAGCGAGCACTGCACGGCGGCATCAGCCCGGAGGTTCACCTGCACGCCCACCTCCTTGGTGCTGGCGTGGCGCAGCCGCGGTGCCAACCCGGGGCTTATGTGGGACAGCAGGGCCTGGAGCTGGCCCCGTCGGTAGCTGTCGAGGAAGTCAGAGGACAGGGGTGTGAGGTGCCCCCCCAAGAAGGGGCTGATGCTGCTGCTCTTGCTCTGCTTCCAGCTGGGCTGCTTCACCTTCGGGTCCCCACTGCGGCCTGGAGCGAGGCTGCTCCTGAAGCCTTGGTAGGGGCTGAAAGGAGAACAAACAAAACCCTCCATGATCACAGCCACAGAAAAGTCAGTCATGCTTGTGTCCCTGCCTTGCCTTTATTTTACCTGGGCAGCTGCTGCTAATTGCTGCTAATTGATGGGCAAATTGTCCCCAGCCCGGCGGGGCTGGCTCAGGGTAGAGAGGGTGGCGAGCAAAGACAGGGTTGGTCTTTACTGGTGGCCGAGCTGGACCAGGAGGTGAAGTGTTTCCAGGCACGCAGTGGGTGAAGATGGGTGAAGATCCTGACAGAGAGAAGTAATCGACGCTTAAAAGTAGCACTTCTCTGCAAGATCCTGTAAAGATGAATGGATGTAACACAGCCATAGCTGGGACAGCCATGGCTTTCATGGTGGGGGAAAGGCTGCTCTCTCACAACTTCTGTTCACGGACCTAACAAAAGGAAAAGGGCTGGGAAGCTAACAAAGCCCAGATAAACTGCGTACCCCACAGGCAACTGAGCAAAGTATGCAGGCAATTACATCTCTGAAAAGAAGTCTTTGTCGGTATTAAAAGGTCTGAGCATCCCCATTGCCCCATTACTTGGGGATTGAATATATGCAGTTTTTCTGTCAGCTGTGGTGGGTTAGGAAAGGATGGAATATTTGTACAACACTGGAGGGAAAAACAGTTATACTGGGAAAAGTGGCTTAATACCTGTATAATGAAATAAATTATAGTAATGCAAGCACTTACATATTAGACTAATAGTCCTTCTTCTATAATTACATCAGTTCGGTTCTAAGGCAATATAGTTTAAATTATGTAATTAAATCATCCAAGCTGTGTATGTGACTCTTTAGAGACTGCAGAATCCCCAGATCCCTGGAGTTACTGTGATGTGAAATAATTTCTTTGCATGACTCCTCACCACCTTTATAAAAGTGCTGCATTATAAAATTCAATGGGCCAACAAGATTGGGGTTAGAGAAGAGCTGGTAGGGAGGATGTCTTTAAATGTTTGCAGTGTATTTGAGAAAGATCCTTCTGAAATAAATCAGTAATAAACACCATTTTTATGGAACAAAAAGGGGTGGAGAGTCAGGAAACACACATTCATCGTACTTAAAAACAAGATGGCTCAAGGCTCCATGTTATGCTTGGGTTTTCAAAGCACTGTATCAACTGTATCTGTACCTGTGTCAACTCAAAGCCAAACCAAGGTATTGAGATGACAAAGTTAAAACTTAGGGCTGCAGTGTGACTGTGGAAAAGTTTGAAGTTGTTAGGGTGCATTGAGGGGGAGATGGAGATTAAACTGGAAACTACATGCCATCCTTCAAAACAGCAGGATGGCTTCCTCTGGAATGCTTTGGGAAGAACCAATTACTGCTGCTGCCAGGATACTGCAGGATTAAGTAAGTTAATTAGAAAGTTAAGTTAAAGAAGTTTATTGGAAGGAGGAGGGAAATGGAAAAAGTATTGCATGAAGAGACACTGAAGGTGACTGATGAGTTAGTAGGTGATGAAATAAAACTGTGTAAAATAAGGACTGGTATGGAGAGAGAGGAAGAAGCTCCTTTATAACACAAGAGCAGATGAACATCAGGCTAAAACAAAAGATGGCTAACTTAAAATTGGTGATAGGAAGAATATTCCACCCAGCTTGAAGTTATTTTATGGACTGATTGCTGAGGTCAAGAACTAATCAAAAGTCAAAATGGCAATGGGCATGTTTTTGGAGGATAATAAGCTCTTTATTATAACATAAACAACCAGAATAATGCCATGTGTCAAGCCCTACAAAATGACATAACTGAAAAAGATGGGGCTGAGACCTCTAGAGGGAATGACACTCCATCACAGTGATGCCGCTCACTGTAAAACTTTCAGAGCCTTTTTCCAGGACATGGGCGTTAACTGCTATTAAACAGTTGAAATATGTCGACTTTGGATGTGCTACTTCATTTCTCATGTTTACAGGGACGTGTGGACACAAGGAGGCGGCTGTCATTTGCCTCAGGACGCTCCCTTTCCGTCTTGTGAGAGAGCAGCCACAGGC